CCCCAAAACCCCAAAACCCCATGTATAAAATGCATTAAGAAATTGGTTATATTGAAAAATTAAAATACACACATTAGTTTGCTTACACTTAAAAATAATCTTCCAATCTCTCTTATACTACACAGATAAGATATTAATTTAATCTCAATCTTATAAGAAATCCATACCTCCTAAGATTTCGGCAGATCTATCTTTTGAAAAAATATTTTCATCAAAGTCTAAATTATTAGAGCTTTAAGATTAATCATTAGAAATAGAAGCCTAATTCTCACCATGACGATTGTTAAAAATAATGGGGATGTCTTAAAATTCAGGATTAGGATTGCAAAGTTTTATGGATTTCTAATAACTAACTACATTCATAAATTAGCTAAGGTATTGAGGATATTCGATAAAGCTTAAGTCATTATTTTCAATTATTGAGATTGAAACATCTTAACTAGTTGATTTAAAACTCGATTCAAATAGATGGAATTGGTTTATTTCCTCATCAGAATTTAACTCATTTGAGATTGAGATGCTCTTCTCAAATGTATCACCTTAGCATACCTTTTATCTTTTTTTAATGCTACTCTAGATACTAAAACTACGGCTTCCTAAATAGTTTTTGGAAATTCTTTCTCTATTTAATCTTTTGATATTATCATTGAAGTACTTGTTAAGATCTTCGTCTTTATTTATATAAATTTTAAGTTTCATTACTTCTTCTAGGTTTTTTACATACTCATCATAAAACTCCTCTACTTCCTAGAAGTAATTGCTAATTTTTTCTCTCCAACCTAAAAGGTACAAGCATAACTTCTTGAATTTATTCATATTATTCTCTTAATGCTGAACTTATGAACCGTTTGACGAGTTAATTATAATAGTCTTTCGCATTATGGTAAGAATCTGGCTTATATAGTTAAAGGTTTTAATGTTTAAAGAACTTGATGTGCAGAATTGCTTTAGTTCTGTATTTAATTAAGTGACTTTCTTTTACTTTGTCTACTCATCTAAATATCTAAATTTCTTCTTTTTCATTGTAATTTCATGATGCTTAGCAAAGATCATCTATTCCTTAGCTAAAAGGGAAATATTTTGATTATTATTTTTTTTTAAACTTGAAGAAAGTCTTTCATGCAATTAATGTCTGACTTACGAGGCTAATTAGGGCAATTTGAGAAAATTGCACCATTGGAGTTTTTACTTAAGAACATTAAGGACAAAGAAATTATCGTCATCCAAGAGGTTACTCTCTAATTATTTGAATTTTTATTCGTGAATGTTGATATCATGCTCGCTCATGCCATCTATATGCTTAAAGCTGAATGTAGAGTTAATTTCTACGAACAAAAATCTATTCAAGAAATATCGTCGCAGATTATCTTGATCTTAGATATCATCACAGTACGTTTTGTAATTTTGAAACTATGGAAGTTCTACTGGGTTGATCTTGTTGTATCTTTTAAGAGTAAGGTATAGCTGTAGCTAATAAAGTTTAAAGTAGCAATATATTCCAGATGGATTTTACAAGTTATAGTCACTATTTTTAATCTTTGTCAAAAACCACAAAGAGACCTTTTCTCTCCATTTATCACTATCAAATGCTTCAATTTGTAAGAGAGCTTGTTGATTTCTATCTGTTCTGTAATATAAATCTGCCCTGAGGATTTACTTTAACCATTTAGGGAGATTAGCTTCATTAATTTTCTGTTCAATCAATGTTTGCTCATCTTTTTTGCTTGTATCCTTAATCTACTTGCATAGCTTGAAATAAGTTTTTATCTCATCAATGACTGCATGAGGAATGTCTGTGATTTCAGTCTTTGAACTCTTCTTCTTCGTTTTGGTAGATCTCAAGATTATTTCGTAGTCTATAAGTAACACATAGATTTAGGATGAGGTTTTT